GTTCTCAGTAGTGACAGATGGCAGAACAAGGAGCAATGGTCTCAAGTTGTGGTGGGAGAGGTCCAGGTTGGCTATTAGGAAAAACTATTTCACTAGGAGGGTGGTGAAGCACTGGAATGGGTTCCCTAGGGAAGTAGTGGTGTCTCCAACCCTAGAGGTGTTCAAGTCTTGGCTTGACAAAGCCCTGGCCAGGTTGATTTAGTTGGGATTGGTCCTGCCGAGGGCAGGGGGCTGGACTTGATGACCTGAGGTCTCTTCCAGTAGGAGTAGGTTTCTGGTTTGGACTGCGACCCAGGGATTGTGGTACAGTATCTGGGAGGGGTATGGGCTTAGGAGAGGGACAGCGAGTTTCATATTTGTGGGGGAAAGGGGTGTGGAGTGGCAGGCTGGGGTGCCCAAGGCAGGCTGCGGCTGGGACAATTGCAAGTTAACTTACAGCTCAGCACATCTCTCTGGAAGGAAAACTGCCCTGCCTCGCCATAAGCTTGGTGACTAAGAGCCTGAGGAGAGTGGTGATTGGTGGTTCCCACGCTGCCTGTTCTTGAAACAGGCAGATGCCATTAGCGAAAACCAGCCAATGGCTGGGATTGTGCTGTTGCTGGGAGCAGCCATGAGGCACTGTTCCCCCGCCCTTCCCTGCTCACAGCAAGTGAAAAATAAATGGCTCTATAGCAGCTTTTCTGCGTGGAGTGCGGGGGCAGGGCAAGCAGGGAAGACTGCCTGGAGGCTCACTGCCACCTCCACAGGCCTGATCCCACTAGTGGAGGATGTTTTGCCCCGGCCCACTGCAGCACCAGGGGCTCGAGCTTCGAAAAGCCATTTCTAGCTGCATCTCAATCCATATTTGGCTCGTGAGCCACAGGCTGTTGTCCCCTGAGCTAGAAGGAACAGACCTGGTGCAGCAGCCACCAACAAGTAGATCAGGATCTAGTGCACGGGTGGCCAACTTGTTCCAGACAAAGAGCCACAATAGCAGTGGAGACAGCGTGAAGAGCCGGGGCCAAGTTGTTGAGCAAAAAAAACCCAACCAAACAAAAAAAACCACACCCCATGCTGGGGGAAAAAAGGGTGTTGGTACATCCGTCCCAGGGCATGCCTTGTGTGTGTGTTTTTTTTTTTTTGGTGGGGGGGGAGGGGGGCCGCGCTCAACAGCTTTGCCCCGACTCTTCACACCGTCTTCACTGCTATTGTGGCTCACAAAAAAACCACTGGGAAGGTGCAAGCTCTGGGAGGGAATTTGGGTGCAGGAGGAAGTAGAGAAGAAGATGCTGCCTCAGGGAGGGGGCTCCAGGGTGGAGAGTGTTGGGGTCAGGTGGAAGGTTGGGGTGCTGAGCAAGCCGCAGGCTTGTGGCTGTGAGGGTGCAGGAATTTGGGCTGGGATACGTAAGGGGCTTAGGGCAGGGAGGCTAGGAGTATGATGGGCTCAGGACACAGATTTGCAGTGTGTGGATGGTGCAGGAGTGTTGTGGCAGAAGACTGAGAATGTGGGGGTGCATGAGTTTGGGGATGTGAGAGGCTCAGGACAGGGGGTTCTAGTGTACGAGAGGCTCAGGTTTGGGGTCAGGGGTGGTGATGGTGCAGGGGTGTTATGATGCTGCGGCCAGATGGGGGCTTGGCCCCAACTGGGGGCTTGTTGGCCAGGCTTCATTTTTAAATAAAATATTATGTCAAACACAAATTCAGGGCAGGGAGGCTGGGAGTATGATGGGTTCAGGACACAGATTTGCAGTGTGTGGATGGTGCAGGAGTGTTGTGGCAGAGGACTGGGGATGCAGGAGTTTGGGGATGTGAGCAGCTCAGGACGGAGTTTTAGTGTATGATAGGCTCAGGTTTGGGGCCTGTGGGGTACAGGAGTGTTATGTTGCTGTGGCCAGATGGGGGCTGGCCACAATTGGGAGCTTGTTAGCCAGACTTCATTTTTAAATATATTATCTCAACACACAATTTTTCAGCATTGTTTTTATTTGAGAGGGACGGGGAACCTGTTTTGAGTCGGATCACTAACCCACAGAAAAGTCAGTCGGGGTGGGAGCAGGGTACGCGTGGGAGGGGACTGGCCAGGGGGAGGGGACATACAGCTGAGGCCAGAACCTGGGGATCCTGGGTCTCAGGAAGCATGCAGGCTGCTCTTCCCCTCCCCTAGGCACCCCTGCTCTAACCCAGTCCACTTTCCCAGAGCCAGGCACTCCCCCCCAACCCAATCCCCTTTCCCTTCCCCAGAGCCAGGCACCCCTCCCCTTGCCCAAACTAATTCGCCGGTCGCAGAGCTGCCACTACAGCCACACGCGTCTCCCTCCAGACACTGGGGCACGTGGACTGAGCGGCCAGCACGCCATGCGAAGCCCCCCTCCCCTCTCCTCCCCTTCTCCAGAGCCAGACACCTCCCCTCCCCGCTCTAACCCAATAGCCCTCCCCCAACAGCTTTATGCCCAGGTCCCGGAGCTGCTGCACTAATATCTAGGTAATGTGCAGATATGCCTAGATATAAAGTATATTTTTAAAAAATTGCTATAAGGATTAATTACTCCTGCCATGACAGGCTAGGCATTTTAGAATGCACTACTCGATTAAATTTGAGCATAAGAGAGAAATAAAAATTATAAACTACAGAGACCAGTCCAATACCAAAAATAACACATTTTGAAATAAATAAATAAAAGTACATAAGAACGGACATACTGGGTCAGACCAAAGGTCCATTCAGACCAGCATCCTGTCTGCCAACAGTGACCAATACCAGATGCCCCAGAGGGAGATAACTCAACAAGTAATCCTTACGTGATCACTCTCCTCTCATTCATTTCCAGACAAATAGAAGCGAGGGACACCATTTCTACCCATCCTGGCTAATAGCCATTGATGGACCTAACCTCCACAGTATTCATGATGTGGGCGTACCATGGTTTTATATAGAGGCAATAAGATATTCCCTGTCTTATTCTCTATTCCTTTTTTAATGTTTCCAAACATTTTATTTGCTTTTTTTGACTGCCTCTGCACACTGAGTGGATGTTTTCAGAGAACTATCCACAATGACTCCATGCTCTTTCTGTATGTATAGCTGGGATTATTTTTTCCAATGTCCATTACTTTGGTGAGATCTTTATGAAGCTCTTCACAGTCTGATTTGGTCTTATCTTGAACAGTTTGGTATCATCTGCAAATTTTGCAACCTCACTGTTTACCCCTCTCTCTAGATCATTTATAAGTAAGTGGAATACGACTGGTTCCAGGACAGACCCTTGGGGAACACCACTAGTTACCTCTCTCCACTCTGAAAACTTACCATTTATTCCTACCCTTGTTTTCCTGTCTTTTAACCAGTTCTCAATCCACAAAAGGACCTTCTGTCTTATCCTATGACAATTTACTTTTCTTATGAGCCTGTGGTGAGGGACCTTGTCAAAGTTCTTTCTGGAAATCTAAGTATACTATATCCACTGGATCCCCCTTGTCCACATGTTTATTGACCCCGTCAAAGAATTCTAATAGATTAGTAAGGCATGATTTCCCTTTATAGAAACCATGTTGACTTTCCCCCAACAAATTATGTTCATCTACGTGTGTCTGACAATTTTATTCTTGACTATAGTTTCAACTAATTTGCCTGGTACTGATGTACTGACTTACCGGTCTGTAATTGCCAGGATCGCCTCTAGAGCTCTTTTTAAATATTGGCGTCACATTAGCTATCTGCCATGCATTAGGTACAGAAGCTGACTTAAAGGATAGTTTACAAACCACAGTTCACAGTTCCACAATTTCGCATTTGAGTTCTTTCCCAGTGACTTGTTACTGTTATCAATTTGTTCCAAAACCTCCTCTAAGGACACCTCAATCTGGGACAAATTTGTCACCTAAAAAGAATGGCTCACATTTTGGAATCTTCCCTATATCCTCAACATCTCAAAGAACAACAGTTAAGAAGTAAGTAACCATCTTTTCTTCTTCGAGTGCTTGCTTATGTCCATTTCACTTAGGTGATTCCCAAGCCACTCCACGGAGGCAGGGTTGAAAGCCTAAAGAGAAACAGACTGCAGCATTGCTGCGCCCACAGCTGCAATCCTGCCTAGCCTGTTGCCTGATTGCATGGTGGGTAGTGAACGTGTGGACTGATGACCACATGGCTGCCCTGCAAATGTCTAGAATCGGCACTTGTGCCTAGAATGTCATGGAAGATGCCAATGCCCTGGTGGAATGGGCCATGAGAGGAGGCACTGGTTTCCCCTTCAGGTCGTAGCATGCCCTGATGCAGGCAGTAATCCAAGAGAATAGACATTGAGCTGACACAGGGCAACCTTTCATCCTCTCTGCTATAGACCCAAAGAGCTGAGTAGATTTGCAGAATTGTCTCATCCTTTCCAAATAAAAGGCGAGTGGCCTCCTAACATCTAGTGTATATAATGCTTGTTCTTTCCTATCCGCATGTGGTTTGGGATAAAACACTGGCAGGAAAATTTCCTGGGATATGTGGAACAGGGACACCACCTTGGGCAGAAAGGCTGGGTGTGGATGTAGGGTCACGTTGTCCTTTGAAAACACCATATTCGGCGGCTCCAAAAAGAGGGCACATAGCTCCGAAACACTTCTAGCCAAGATGATGGCCACCGGGAATGCGACCTTCCAGGATAGATGAGAGAGAGAACAAGTAGCTAATGGCTCAAATGGGGCTCCTATGAGGCCCCAAAGCACCAGGTTCAAGTCCCATTGGGGGATGGGTTGCTTAACCTGGGGGTAAAGTCTGTCCAGCCTCTTCAGGAATCTCTTGATCATAGAGTGGGCAAATACCAAACGCCCACCCTCCCCTTGGTGAAAGGCTGCAATGGCTGCCAGGTGAACTCTGACCAATGAGGAAGATAACCCCTGTTGTCTAAGGTTAAGGAGATAGTCCAGAATCATCTGGATGAGCTGATACTGGGTCCCTTCCTTCCTTAGTGACCCAATCTGAAAACCTCCATTTGGCCCAATAGGTCGCCCTAGTGGAAGGTTTCCTTCTCTCCATCTTCTCTCTTCACCGGATTCGAGCAAAGGAGCGGGTCCCTTCCTTCCTTAGTGACCCAATCTGAAAACCTCCATTTGGCCCAATAGGTCGCCCTAGTGGAAGGTTTCCTTCTCTCCATCTTCTCTCTTCACCGGATTCGAGCAAAGGAGCTCCCCTCCTCGTAGCCAGGCCGTGAGGTGGAGGGACTGCAGGTTTGGATGACACAGGAGACCCTGACCGATGTCCTGTGCCAGCAAGTCCGGGACTGGGGGGAGGGGAATAGGGTCTTTCACCAAGAGGTCCCGCAGGGTGGTGAATCAGTGTTGCCTTGGCCATGCTGGGGCAATGAGGATCAGTGTTGCTCTGTATCTTCTGACCCTTAAGAGTACCTCATGAATCAATGGGAAGGGGGGAAAAGCATAGAGGAGATCCTTCGGCTATCCAATTGTTAAGGCATCCACAACTGACCCCAGTTCCCGCCTGCAGTACAAGCAAAACCTGGGGCACTTCCTGTTGCATCTCAAAGTGAAGACATCTATGAGGGGAGTTCCCCACCTGCAAAAAAGGGTGCTGATCACCTCCCCCTTGAGAGATCACTCATGAGCAGAGAACGCTCTGCTGAGCCAATCCACCAGGGTATTGCAGGCCCCAGGAAGATAGGTTGCCTGCAGGTGTATCCTGTGAGCAATGTATAGCTCCCAGAGGGGCTATCGCCTCCTGCCAGAGGGAAGAGGAGCGAGCACCACCCTGTCTGCTGATATAGTACATTGCTGCTGTGTTGTCCGCCTGTACGGAAACACAGTTGCCCCTCAAAAGGGGGAGGAACGTTTGGTAAGCAAGCCAAACCGCCTTCAGCTCCCTGACATGGATATGCAGCTCTCTCTGCCTCAGACCACATACCATGTGTCCAGTTTCTCCAGGTGGGATCCCCAGCTGGCATCAGAGGCATCCATCCCCAACTGTAGCATGGGGAGGGGCTGGGTGAACGGGGCTCTATTGCACACATCTCTCTCCCTTGTCCACCGGTCCAGTGTTGATAGGACTTTGGGAGGGGGGGGAGAGAGGGGAGATGGTGACCACCATGTCTATATCGTCACAAGCTGGCCTGTAGACCTTCGCCAACCAGGATTGCACAGGTTGGAGGCATAACCTGGTGTATTGCACCACGTACGTGCATGCTGCCATGTGGCCCAGCGGTCTCAGGCACTGCCTCACTGTGGTCATAGGGGCAGCCCAAAGGTGTTGAATAATTTCCTTTAGGGAATCGAACCTGAGGCCTGGGAGGTATGCTCTCCTTGTTGTGGCATCTAGTCTTGCACCTATTAATTCTATGACCTGGGTAGGTATGAGGGTCAACTTTGACTCATTCAGCAAGAGGCCTAACTGCACAAAGTTCTGTCTGGCTAGCACTATAAACTGTTGTACCTGTTCCCAGGAATGGCCTCTAATGAGCCAATTGTCAAGGTAAGGGTAAATGTGAAGCCCCCTCTTCCTCAGAAAGGCTGCTACCACCACCATGCACTTGGTGAACACCCTGGGTGTGGTGGATAGTTCAAACAGTAGCACTGCAAACTGATAATGGTCTCTTCTCACAACAAATTGCAGGAAACTTCTGTGATGAGGAGTGATGGAAATGTGGAAGTATGCGTCCTTTAGGTCAAGGGCAGCATACCAGTCCCCTAGATCGAGTGATGGGATAATGGAGACCAATGTTACCATTCTGAACCTTGATTTTCTTTTATAAGTGTTTAGCCCTCTCAGGACCAGGATGGGGCGCACATACCCTTTGGACTTCAGGATAAGGAAGTAGTGGGAATAAAACCCCTTTCCCCTGAGGCCAGATGGGACCTTTTTCACAGCCCCCATAGACAGGCACGAAGAGACCTCCTGACGAAGGAGGTGCTCGTGAGAGGGGTTCCTGAAAAGGGATGGGAGGAAAGGAGAGACAGGAATGGGATAGAATATCCCCTTGCCACAACAACTAGGACCCAGCAGTCCAAAGTGATGGCTCTCCAGGCATGGTGGAAAGGGGATAGCCTGTCCAAGAAGGGGCGATCTAGTACTGGGGCTGGTGCTGGCACAGGCGTGCTGTCCTCAGGTGTACATTCAAATTCCCGACCTCGGGCCCTGGGGCTTATTTGGGTGTCCCTGATTCTGGTCCAAGCCCAAGCGGGAGCGCCTCCTGGGATTCCTAGTGTTATTACCCTGATTCCTACGCCTACTGTCGAATCTGGCCCCCGATTGTATCCCCTCTGTCCCTGTGGGTTCAGTGGGCGACGCTGTAGGGCCAGGGTATGAATCCCTAAAGATTTCAATGTTGCCCTAGAATATTTTAGGCTATGTAGCCTACTTTCTGCCTGCTACAAGAAGAGGCCCAACCCTTCAAAGGGTTGGAGTGTCATCTGCACTTCCGAGAGAATACCCAAAACCTGGAGCCAAGAGCTTCAGCGCATGTCTATGCCCGTGGCCATAGCTCATGCTGCAGAGTCCACTGCGTCTAGAGTGGTTTGAAGGGCTGACCTGGAGACGACTCTTCCTTCCTCCATGAAAGCTGCGAACTCCTGCTGGGAGTCCTGCAGTAGTCGGGCTTTGAACTTGTTGACGGCCACTCAGGAGTTGTAGGCATATCTGAAGAGCATAACCTGCTGGTTGGCTATCCTCAGCTTGATATCCAAGCCGTTGTGCATGCTTTTCTGCCAAGCCCGGGGGTGGGTGAGTAAACAGGTGCTCATGATCAGCTTGAGGGACATAGTTCTGTGTCTCAACCCCCTTCTGGGTAGGTGATATGGATGCTGGGGTCTGCCAGAGGGTTTTGGTGATTTTTGCCTCTTTTATTCAAGAGGAGGGCAGTTTTGGTGGCGCCATCTGCAGTGATGATGTCCACCACTGGATCCGCCTCCTCTAACTTCCTTGGCCTGTACCCCTAGATTCTGGGCCAGCCTTTTAAGGATATCCTGGTGTGCCTGCATGTCCACAGATGGCATGGCTGGGGACGGATCTGCTAGGGCTTCATCAGGTCCCTCAGCATTGGCTGTCCTTGCGGAGGCATGTCTCCTGCAGTTTGGGAGGGCTGTGTTATGGTCTGGTCTTGTGCGATTGGTTGTTGGTGGTGAATCGAAGTTCCAATCGACCCGGGGGAGGGGGGCCTGGCTCTCTGACCCTGGGTCCCTGATGAGTGGAGTAGCAGAGAGGGCCGTTCTGCGATCCGAGCATGATGATGCAACGACTGACCTCGACCTCATCGAGTTCTGGCCCTGGGCCTGGTCATACGCTCATGAGGTACAGAAGGGCCACTGAGGAGGTGGTTGCCAAGACTGCACCACCAATGAGCTATGTGCTCTTGACTGGTGCCAGGAGCTCGATTGGTGCCAAGATCTGGATTGGTACCGAGATCTCGACCTATGCGACCTGCCAGAGTGTCTTGAGGGGGCTCTGGAAGATAGAGATTCCACTTCCAATTCAGATGAGTAATCAAATGCTGACCATGGTGGTGCCATTGGCGACTCTTGGCCCCTCTGCTGCGTGTGCTGGGCCATGGCAGATGGTTTGCTTCAGTACCTACGTGGTGCCAGTGGGGGCATGGTTTCACTCTCCGGTGCTGGCAGACATGGTGCCGGGACCACATGTGGTCTGACACGCACAGGGTCCTGTACCACCAGAGTCGGTGCCAACCACATGGTCGGTGCCGGGTCAGTTATTTCTCCCAGTGAGTGCCGGGGTAGATGGTGCTCGAGGAGGCACCGGGGCCATCAGGGTGCCCTGTCTCTCTCGGCTCAATTGGACCTGTGCACCATGTGGTGCCGATCCTGGCAATGCCGTGAACTAAATGAGTTCCTGTACTGCCAAGAATGTCTCTGGCATCAGCAGCTGCCGGACTTTCTCCAGACAGGTCCGGGGTTTTGGGACTGCTCTCTCTCTGACAGCCCCTCCTGGGTTGGGGTGCCCTTCCTTCTGTCACTCCTCTCTTCCCCTTCTGGAGGGCAATCTGCCTCTACGTGCTCCCTTATGTGCGTGTGGCACCAGGAACTGGGATCGGTGCTGCGGTGCCGACTAGTGCTCCCGGGCTGTGGAATGTCTATCCGGGTGCCTGGCTTCCCACACCAACCGTGGTGTGCTCTGTATTGACGGCGGCTCCAGGGCCTGGGGTTGTAGTGCCAACACCATCAAGAGAAGTTTAAGTCTAGAGCTGCATTCTCTCTTCGTTTATGGCTTGAATGACTTGCAAATTTTACAGGAGTCCATAAGGTGCCCCTCACCCAAGCACTTTAAATACTCTTTATGGGGGTCCCCATGGGGCATAGGCTTGGAATAACGCTGGTACGGTTTGAAGTCTTGAGGCCGCTGCATGCCTGGGGGTGGAGGAGAAATATGACTCCTAACTATCTACGACAAAGAACTAATCATAACTGAGGATTACCAACTATTTAAACTAGATAAGCTAACTGAAGTACTAAGGGAAGTCTTGAAAGGCAAGACAAGTGTTCCGGTCGACCATCACAGGCAGTAAGAAGGAACTGAGGGGGAAATGGTGCCAGCAGGGCCATATATGTGTGGCCCTACTGGTGCCACTCTAGAGGGCTCACAAGCTGTCCCAACGGGAACTGCCAAGGGTAAAAAAGTTCTGGCATTTGTACACGTGGCACGCACGCACGCACCTAAGTGGAATGGACATAAGCAAGCACTCGAAGAACTCAACTTCATTTTTGGTTTCAACTTATAAATTAAGTTTGTTTCCTTCAACGGAGGTATGAACAGAGACACTGGATGGATGGCTTGCTACATTCCACATCCTAATAGGAATGTTAAATTTAGATTAATTAATTAATCAGATAGTCGATGGGATTTCCATCAACTATTCAATTAGTCTATAAGGGCGCCTCCACCTTTTAACTGTAGCAAAACCCTGCCGGGGCTCTTTTAACCTGGCTTTCCCCAGCACCGGCTCCTGCTCCCCACCTTTGCTGCCTCTCTCTGATAGAGGCAGCAAGCGGAGGAGCAACAAGTCACATCACTAGTCGCTTACACCCCTTCATCCTAATGACAAAAAACCCAAACAATGGGTACTTAAGAGCACTTAGCACCTTCTCTATCAGCTTCATGTAGCATGGACACTAATTCAGTGTGTGTCAACCTTTTTTGATAAAGTACAGTAATTACTCGCTTAACACGTCCCTGCTTAACACATTTTCATGATAGAATGATTGGGGGGGGGGAGGGGAACGTTTTTTGAACAACACGACCGTCCCTGAAATAACACAGTTTCCCCAGCCAGCCGGTTGCCGGCGACTGCGCGGGGCTTCCCCCGGCTCCCTGCAAAGCGGCAGAGGGTTTGCCGCGCCATTCCCTGGCAACCCCTTCTCGCCGAACGCCTTGCTCCCTCTCCTCCGCCCCCACTTGCAGGCCGGCAGCTGGGTTTCCCCCTCTGGCCGCGGGGCTTCCCATACATCCCTTCAAAGCGGCGGAGGGTTCGCTGCTCTCCGTACCGCTCCCCTTTCGCTGGATGCCTTTCTCCGTCTCCTCCAACCCAGCTTGCAGGCTGGCAGCTGGGTTTCCCCATTCCCCACCACTTGAAACGCAACCCCCACCTTTTCCATTATTTTCAATGGGAAAATTGACCCTGCATAACATGTTTTCACTTAACACAATCATTTTCTGAAACATATCTACCGTGTTAAATGAGGAATTACTGTACCCCTTTTTAAAAAAAAAAAAACTGTTAAGTACATCCAGTATCTACAGTTTTCAGACACACAATTTTTTTCTACCATTGCAACACATTTGTTTAAACAACTTAATCACAGCCAGGTGGGCCATCAAATTTTTGGGTGTAAAAAGAATAAAAATCATAAAGCGCTGCAAAACTTAAAACAAAAATTCAGTTTTCTCCAAATTTCAGTTGTGTTGACATACCCCCAGACTTCACTTGAGTACCCCTAAAGGTACTCGTACCACTGGTTGAGAAACACTGCTCTAATTGACTATTCTTTTCCTTTTTTTCCCCCCATTCTTTTTCCTTCTCTCCCCACGATCCGCTACTTTATTTGAAACTGGACTGCATTCATCTGAACAAGTGGGTTGTGCTCATACCACCATCTATTCTACACTCTTTGTTAGTCTCTAAGGTGCCACTAAACTATTCGTTGTTTAAGTTTTTCCAGTTACAGACTAACACGGCTACCCCTCTGAAGCTTTTCACCACAGGCAGCATTAGTTATATTAACTGAACAAAATAAACTCATAAAGGGTTAAAGAATGCTTCCCATATCAACGCTAGCAGCAGAGGGTAAAGAATCATGGACCTAGCATCAAGAGCTCAGAGTCATGTGCTCAGATGTTCACAATCCCAAAGTTAATTGGTTTCTAACAGTGTCTGGTCATGGTGCCAAGAGAATATAAAATATCAAGAATTTAGTGATTTTCAATGGAAATTTTCCCTGGAAATTTAAATGAAGAACAAAAAGCAAAATGAAACAGCTATGAAGTGAAACAAATACATGGTTCTGAACAGAAAAATACTTACATCTCTGTTTCTAAGTTTTTGTTTAAGATTTGAAGGGTGATGGTACCAATACTGATGCTCCTAATTGTAGATTCTGTGCCTATCACCACATCAGTATTTGGGGGAAGATTGGAACACCTTACATAACAGTCTGGGGCAGTGTCCATAAGGGTATGTCTACACTACCCTCCTAGTTCGAACTAGCGGGGTAATGTAGGCATACCGCACTTGCAAATGAAGCCCGGGATTTGAATTTCCCAGGCTTCATTTGCATAAGCGGGGCTCCGCCATTTTTAAAACCCCGCTGGTTCGAACCCCGTGCAGCGCGGCTACACGGGGCTCAAACTAGGTAGTTTGAACTAGGCTTCCTCGTTCCACGAGGTGTACCGGTAGTTTGGAATAGGAAATTCAAATCCCGGGCTTCATTTT